CCCCCCTTTTTCAAGTTGGAGAACGCACCAAACACGGATTACCCCTTTTTCAGTTCTGCATTATACCAAGCCACCTCACGATTCACCTGATCAAAGCGGAAACAAAAGGTGAAGAACAACGCGCCTCAAGATGAACAGAAAGGATTTTAGATGACATGCCTCACCCTCCCCCACCCGGGGAAGTGCTACTAACTGAAGTTGTCTTTAGGCCATTCCCAAAGGGAGGATATTATTATGTTCCTATGCAAAGTACAATTGTAAATGGGCTGATTTATCAATGACATGCTCATACTGTGCCGGAACAACACAGTGGGAACTGCTGCTTTTTCTTTCCTCTTCCTTTCTATCGTCATTTTTCTTCTTCTTCTTTTGCATATCGGTCACTCTCTTGTGAACTGCTTTGATAGTCGAAGCAGACTTTGTGCTGTTGAGGCTAGAGAGGTGAGCAGGGTAAGCCTGATTCGCCGTTCGAACTTCTCTGTTGACATCCACCCCTTGGCGCTCATATTACCTTATGCAGTTGCAAGCGCGTAAGACCTTACAAATACAAACATACCTCAGTCCTTTCTGGTCTAACAAAACTCAACAAATGGTCCGGTCCAACAACCACCAGCAATGAATGAAGAAAGGAGAGAAAAAAGCGTATCAATACATGCACAAAAAATGTATTTTATTTAAAAATTGCTATATTGTTACATGTATTTACTTTGTTCAACATTGAGAGAAATGTGCCAAGAGCTACCACATTCTCTAGGTTGTAAAAAGATCTGAGAAGATCTGTTATTTATTGTGAGTGTTTCTAAACATAAAAAAATATTGCTTCAGCTTTCTATTTCAGTGGGAAATACTCACTCGAAAACATTTTAAATTAGTAATTCATATGACAATGAGAACAGCTTCAAACATCAAATAAATCCTTTCTTTCGATCACGATGAAAATGACTGGGGAATAACAACAACACCACCACCGACAACAGTATGAACAACAACAACAACAATAATAGTAATAATAATAATAATAAC